TCGTTGGGGTTAAGATTTGGGATCTGTGGTGACCAGGTGGGTGGCAAAAGTCGTCTTTATGCTCGCTGAACCACTGCAGAACAATCCTTGATAGACAGTAGCGTTGTCATCAAAAAAAGAACCACCACACGCAGGAAAAAAATGCAATATTGCAGGATGAACTTAATTGCCAAAAAATGTTCAGGTACTCGTTGGAAGTCATTCAACCTTCCAGGAATATCAGCGGACCAGTTTCATCCCAACTGAATATGCCCCATACCATAACACCAGAACCTTGAATCGTGTTAATGAAGCAAGCAGGGTCCATTGCTTTATGGGTTCCCTCCAAACCCAGAATAAAATGTACCGCGATTCGTCTGACCAAATTACTTTTATCCAGTCTTCAGATGTCCAATCATGGCACTCTTGGCACCACTGTACAGTATACGAACTTCCCGGTTCTTTGCAGAAATCAGTGGTTTTCGTATAAGCCTGCGACTGTTCATACTGATTCTTTTCAGTTCCCTGCATATAGTTCGGGTAGATATGGGTCGGGGACGGGATTCGTTAAATTCTTCCGTCAATGCTGCACAGAGGAAGTCCTTTTTTTGCACTAGCCTTTTCAAATAACGTTAGTTGTGTTCCCGATTAACGGTTTTGGAGCCACGGTTACTTCTTTTAGACATCAACTGCGGGTTATTTTTCCATCGATTGAACACTCGGGATGTCTCACCTTTGAAGTCAGCTCTACAGTTCTTAATATTCGTGGCTCCAGCGAGAAGGGCACTCACAACCGGCTCTTTTTTGAAACTTTGTCAAGTCCTTCACTTTTCCCATTTTCATAAACTTAATGACCATACTGACCAACAGAATTTTTAAATGGAAGCTTACGAACATGTGGCAACTCACATGACTCCAGTGCTTTGCATATAAGCTGCAAAATTAGGCCTACATTTACATAATATGCATGGGGTTTTCTAATTCACTGATTAGTGAGTGTATCTTTTTCATCGATCGCGCTTTTTTTTTTCTTTCGTTTTTTTCGTAAAGTTTTAAATAAATAGAGTCCAGTTTCTCATAGAGAGTCCTCTTAACGCCTCAAGAGGCTGTGGGATGCTGTGGCGCACTTATGGCTTTGATAAGGGTGTTAGATCACCAGAGGATTTACGAATAAAATTTAAGCTAAAAACTTGATATATTTATTTATTTATTAATCATTTTTATCAATAAAAAACGTTGTCCTAAACTCGAAAAAAATCATTAATGATGGCCATACGAAGAAAATGCAATTGGAAGTTCCAACTTTACAGACCTCGTTATTGGGTAGTTGCTGTAATTGGAGATTTGACTAAACAAATAAAAAGTTTAAAATAAAGAAAATAAATGCCATAAAAATTACTACATATAATAAAAATGCAAACAACTAATTGAGAAGGAAGTAAGTTTCAAAAATACTACAACAATCAAGAAATTATGTAAAAAAATATCGAGTAATAATATAAAAGTTATTCTTTATAATTACAGTAATTATTATTATAATATCATTCTAAATGTAAACATTTTCTTAGAATAGAGAATACAATTAGACAATGGAATCAATTATCTATTTCACCGATTTATTAAAAATTACGACACAATATTTTTATATTATTTCTATCAATTTTACAGTTGAATATAATACAATGTTGATACCAAGGAGATTCTTTGTAACTTAGACGTATAACCGCTTCGTGTTCTTTTAGTGTCCTTTCGCTTGTTTGTTTAATTATGAAAAATCAACACTTGGGCGATCTGCCTAGGGAGATGCCTTCCGGAAGGTCCTTTTAAAGGAAACTGGCCCCTATTTAGGCGTTACAGACGTGGAGAAAACCCGAAAATCTCCACGTGACCAGCCCTGAACTATGTGTTCAGGGAACGAAGACCACTTGGCCACTGGTGGGCTTTGTTTCTCTCATGCAACACTCTGGTTGAGAGCACGTGTATGAAAGTTTATATACAACACCCGCGACATCAAGTTGACGGTCTTTTTTCTTTTCTTCTTTATTAAAAACAGAATTTATTGCATCATTAAATTTGTTTTTATATTTTTCGTATAGACAATTTATATAGGGAAATAGAACATACCCACTAGTTTTCTCATTCTTTACATTATATCTGTTGGTCATATAATTATCATACTACTTACTATAATTCTTTCCTGGATATCCATTTAATATGTACTTTTTAAAGCTGTTTTTCTTCTAATTAAATACCTTCAGGAAGTATATTTCTTGTATTTTGTATTCAAGGAAATGGTTACATTTAGACTGATATTATAATAATGATTACTATAATAATAAGAGAAAATTTACTTATTTTAAAGAAAACTTTTTATATTATTACTCGTTATTTTGTTACATAATTTCTTCATTGTTCTAGTATTTTTGAAACTTATTTCCTTATTAATTATATACTTATTTACATTTTTATTATATGTAATAATTTTTATAGCATTCATTTTCTTTATTTCAAACTAAAGGATTTTCTTCTTTATTTTTTATTAATTTAAATAGGATTGTAGAATTAAAGGGATTAAGGGGTGACTCCCGGGAGGAATTTCTACGTGAAACTGACTCTTATTTACATGTCAAGCATACGAAGAAATCCCGGAAAACTCCATGAGGTACGAACCCACGACCAACTTACCTGTGTTTAGTAGTTTTATCTACTAGGACAATGGTGAACGACTCTTTTATGAACCAATATCTTCAATTAAACAAATAGCAAGTTTAACAAACTGATTTTTATAAATGGATACTTTTACGTCCTTCACGATGTGGCCGAATTGTCGCGGGTTCGCCCCCGACTAAAACGGAACTAGAAAGTTTACCGGATTATTTTCACGCGTGTAACATTATAATAGAAGCCAATTTTTCATAGAAACTGCTCGATTTGAATGTGGGATTGCTTCAAGAGGTAGTGTCAGGGAGATGCTCCCAATTGGTAGATCGCTGGTCTGTTGTATTTTCCTTACCTCGTCGATCCTACAACTGAAATTTTAGGGTGATTTAAACGAAGAATGAAATCTAAAACCCATAAAGATGTCTTACACATAAAACGTAAGGATTAAAATTTTATTACTTCCTCTTCTTTATTTTTCAATGAAGGCTCTCAACAAGGGTTTTTCTCATCACATCCGGTTAAGTCTCTTGATTCTATAGATAATTTCGATCAATGGGTCAGTTTTCTTTTCTTTTTCCATTATAATTTGTAATTTTAACAGTTAAGTACTTTAGACCAGTCGTTTCATTGATTAGAAAAACCCTTAAATCCGGTTCTTCTCTACGTTAAACTGGGTTAAGTAGAGGATTTATTTATGTGTAGCGTAGTGTAATGTAGTAGTTAAAACAAATATATTTCTAATGCTTTTATTAAAATAACAATAGTTAAATTACTTCACAGTTTACATTTTTAACTGTAAAATACAATTAATAGAGAGGCCTTTCGTTTGCCTCTGTAGCATAATAAAACAAGCTGTTAATATTTATAAATAATAATAATAATTTTGCGTGTTAAATATTAATTTTTCACAAGAAATTCACGATAGGAAATGAGTTTAAAGCATAATTAAATTAATTAATAAAAAAAAAATCACAGGCCTATTTTCTTCGTTTGTACTTTCATTTCCGTGTTTTTATTTTAAAAAATTTCACTTTTATTATATTATTTATCGAATATATTAATAGAATTTTAAAAGTTTAGGTGTTAATGTATGTAAAAATTATAAAATAATGTTCTAATAATACGAAATTTATATTTTATAATACAAAAATCTTCACGTAAAATATAGGACACACGTTTGGGATGAGAGTGGGCAGACTGAGCTTACGTAACAATTGTGTTACGTAATTTATAATGAATCCTTTTAATTAACTTTCTCCCCTTCATTGCGAACGTAACAATACGTTCGGTATAAAAGGGAGGAAGGTATTACGAGCATCTAATTAAACAGAGCAGTGAATAATAAGTATAAAGATGAACCCTTTGCTTTATATAAGGCCCTGCATTAAATTTACAAAATTTATTTTAAGAAATTTCTTAAGAAATATGTTAAATTGCGTCATATTACAAGAGAATAGTGTTTTCTTGGAACAATTTAAATATTTATTTAATATTTTCTTTCTTGGTTATAAATTTAATTGCTTTAGTTATTTACATTGTATTTCGAAAGATGAACATTAACTGTTTTATTCTTTGAATTTTATTTGATTAAAGGCGTAATTTTTTTTATTTTTGTCGTCAAATTTAATGATATTTTCTATAATAAATACAGTGTGATTCAAAAGTCTTCAAAGAAGTGTATAGTTACACACATCAACACGTGTTACGTGCATGCCACGTGTACCATAAATGGCATTCACAAGAGATAATTATGACGACGTAAAAATTTATCTAAATAGTAACCACTGATAAACCATTAAATACTGGTTTATGCACTTGGTCGATGGTTCTTACCTGAACGACTGGCTGACGGTTTTCTTCACGTGTCTAACATCTGAATTGGAACCAAATTCCCTGTATAAAATCCTCACCGTAGGCATCCTTTGACAGATTAAGTGTTGACTTATTGTATCAATTTAAATCCCTTTTATTTACGGAGACTTCTGAATCACCCTATATTTTTTATAAACAGTCTAAACCTCGATTTATCCCACCCCCCATAGAGCTATAATGAGCGTAGTTTCCTGTGTGTGGATCTCAATATTTTATATAATTCTTATTGTTCGGGGTCGTTTAATATAGTGTCAATTTTTGATAATTATATCTTTTGTAACTGGCTCTATATCGAGGTTTGACTATACTATAAAGAAGAATCTGAGTCTGAAAAATCACTTTATAATTCTTCACTTTAGATTAGAAATTATTTTTAAGTAGAAAATTCATATTGACTCTTGGTAAATTAGCATAAAGATTTATTTATTTAAAAGCACCATTCATTTATCACTTTAAAAAGTTTTGAATATTTAATAATGGAAGGCGTATATTGCTTAATGGTTGTCTTCTTCTTTTTTTTCCACAACATACAATAAAAAGACAATTAAATATTATTATTATTATTATTATTATGGTTAACATGCCAGTAATTTGAATTTCTTTTCCGAAAAGATTAGTTATTAAACATGAATAAACTTCTTATAAAAAACCAGAATATTCATTAAGACAATTGGAAGATGTGAAAGAATTGCTGGTTTTCACTGTTTTCTCCACACTTGAGGTTTTTGTAGTTCTTCTGTCTTCAGAAATATCTGTAAGAAGAAAAAAAAATTAAATGTTTTTAAACTTGATAATTAATAAATATACACGCGATAAAATAAAATAATTGTGTTTCTTGAATATTGGCAGTCCTCTGCGAGATATTTATGATAGATTCGCGTGGAAATTGATTAATCGTTTTATTATCTGTAAAACGATTGCTTAATAAAGTGAAATATACACGAAATCAGCCAATTTCTTTGTGTTTTATCTGGCTTACCGATGTAGTAACCAATCTCTCGGTATAATAGCTTTAATATAGTAAGAATAACACATAATCCGTAAACATTATTGGTTACTTGTGTTGTCATCAATACATTAAAAAATATTGTCTTTCAGTGTTAAAAGCCCATCTACAATTTGCAATGATGAGCATGTTATCACCACAATCAACATTTTTACTTTCCTGGCTATAGTAACGTATATAAAACTGAGGAAAAGTTTGAGTTTTTTCTGTATGTATAGATGTTTATGTGTGTGGGAGCACGATTTTCTTTACCCTTTTTGAAGCTTAATAACTCCTGTTCTTTTCATCGAAAATTTTTAAAATTTTACACGGTGGTTTAAGTATTAGGAAGATTAATTATGTTAAATTTTAGTGGTTAAAGGTCGAAGGAGTGGGGAGATAATGGGGATCGTGTTTATTTTCAATACGGTCGGACTTAATGACGATTTTACTTGTTATTAGCATTTATAATTTTTTATAAAACTGATCCCTGCCGTCAAAATTAAGCATTTTTGCCATTTATAATAGTTAAAAGTATAAAAATGTTTTAATAAAATATGATAACACCTTACTTAAAAAGTGTAGACAAATACAGAATGTCCTAGACAGGTTTCAAACCATTGTGTGCGAATGACAGGTGACATTTAATTCGTGTTTCTTGAATTCGAAACCTTACTTAATCAGTTTTTTTTGGCTTGCATGTATTGGTTATTGGTATTGTTTGATGACCTATAAATTATGTTTGAAATTAGGAGAAAGTATGACAACTTAAATATGGCCTGTCTGTGTTACCAGTCGCTAAAGGCCAGCGTTGACTTTGATTGACGAAATTATGGAAGGGAATACACACAACGAGTACTAAATGTATCAAATAGAACAATATACTTCCCTATTACACATTGAACTGTCCAATATTTTATGGACATCGTGTAAATAATGTGAATGGCACGTTCGAAAGAACCAGTTCCTCTCGTGTCAAGTAATATTGACAATTATTCTAATTTTATATGTATTTTGTAATTAAAAAAAGTACTATTACTTCCGTAAATTAATTACAGTATATATATGCAAATAAATTACAATTACAGGTCACTATTCAAGAATATTGTCCATTACCTGCAACTTTATAGAGGATTGTAGATGATGAATAGAGGGTAACACTGTATAAGAAGATTATAGATAGTAGACGTAGGAAAACCCCTTGTGTAGAGATGTATACGTAATGGAAAAAAGATAACCCTCTATATAAGATTGTTGTAGATAATGAATACAGGGGAATCCTTTGTATAGAAGAGTATAGATGATGGACAGAGGGCAACTCTCTGTTTAAAAGTGTTGTAGATAGTAGATACAGGGAAACCCTCTGTATAGAGGAGAGTTGGTGATGGATAGAAAGCAACTCTATGTATAAGAGGATTCGTAAGTTCTTATGGAAGCCTGTGAATAGACGGTACCATACGAACGAATGGAAATACAATTAAACTAATCTTATTCTTTTTCTTGTAGTTTTGAAAGGAAAAATGTAAATAATGATATAATTTTAAACATATTTTTTAATTAATTAGCCAAACCTCGATATAGCGCATAATAAAGAGAGTCACTTTAGTGTGTGCCAAGTGTGGATCTTCCTCATCGGTAAAGAACACGGTACGATTTTCCATTGTCATCAGAAAATCACGTGATTTTGGCGGCGCTAAATCGAAGTTTGGCTCAGTAGGTTTTTATGGAAAAAAAATGAAAAATGAATAGAAATATATTAAAATTATATAAAATACCATTTAAAATATCATGAAACTAAACTAAATTAAGCCCCTTGGTATCAATTTGTATACTTTACAAAATCAGAATCATTTTTAAATTTGCTCCTTAATTAAAAGCAAATTCAGTGAAATTTTTAAAAATGTTCTGATCAGAGCCTGTATAAAACAATTAAAAAATTAAAATAATATAAAACAAAAATATTCATTTTTCATATTCTCTATTCTAAAACATCATTAATGCATACATTAATTATAAAATTCTAATTTAAAAAATTAACTTAATGTATAAAATTAAATAGAATATAATCATTATAGTCTCAATTTTGTCAGCTTAAAAGAAAGGATTAAAAGATGCTGCATAAAGGTTGCCTATACAGAAAATTTTAAGGGTCTCTTAACCTGTGATTCACGGACCTTCAGTGGTACAAATGGAAGAAAAAAATCACTAAACAAAAGTCGTGGGTTTACACCTAAATTCTGTCTAAATTCCCATAGAATAGGGTCCTCCCGGGAGGCATTCCTCTAATCAGATTGCCTGTGTGTTGAGTTGACGTATACAAACGAAAGAAAACAGATAAACAACCCCTGGAATGTACTAAATTAGGTTTATTTCCATCATTTATAAGTGATGGGCAAAATACAGTTAATACAGTTCGCCATTTTGGATCTTACAATAGCCTGTGTGGCAAGCGTTAACGAACAATTGTTTTATGTGTTACATTAAAATTTTATCTACTTTATTAGAAAACCCATTATTTATCTTATTTAAATGATGATTATTATTACAGCCACACTTTTACTTATTTATTACTAGGTGTGTTTTCCTAAAACCCAATCCACTTGAAGATTCCCTTCCATTAATACATGACATAATATGTGTTGATCGCGTGTATTTATTGTAAACAAAGCTTAATTCGATTTAGTTTATAGTGATTAATGCTAATTAAGAGTATAAATATTTTAAATCTGGTTAAAGATACTTATTCACGTTTACTGCGATTCAGTAATTCGCATGCTAAACTTGCTTACGTAAGTTTACTGCACTTAAAAGTGGTTAAATGTTCATTTTAATAGAGAATTTTAACTAAACTGATCTTGAATCGTGGCTAACTTAATAATAAAATGATTAAAGAAAGTATTATTTAAAAGCGGGCAGAACTAGTGAAGACCAGTCGTGTGTTTTGCGCCTGAATAATAAACTGTCCACCAGGAGTTTTCGGGAGTTTACTTATGAGTTTAACACCTAAACAGAGCCAGTTTTGCACAGAAAATCCTCCCGTTAAATTGCCCGAGTGTTGCTTGATTTAATCTAGTGTTTTTCAACCGATTTCTAGTAGTGGCACCCGAACATGGTAAATTTTTGTGGCATTCATCTTTATCAATGTAGCTGCTAATTGTTTTTGTAATACACCCCAAAGAAGTGTTACCAGTATTCGATGTTTTATCTATCCACTGCACCACTGAAGGGTTCGATAAATAATTAGAAGTAAGTAAACATGAGGCTGGAATTTCTGAATTTAAATTATGTTTTCATGTTAATTTGATGTTATGACATGAAAATAAATCAGAAAAAAGCAAAAAAAAACATATTTAATAACTTAATTACGTACAAATTACGTATAATTCTTTATATCGAGGTCACACTAAAACCTGTAACGCTTCAATTATTATTATTATTATTTTTTAACTATATATTTCCTGTTTAAAAAACTTATTTATAAACAATCACTTTCTACTCTCATTGATCTAATTACTATAATTTTTTTTATATAAAATAAATAAGGCAAAAATAAAATTAAAAAGAAAATTAAATAAATAAATAAAAAATACTTGGAAACGGTAGTCTGTTGCCTTTGCAGATCTTAAGAAGGGGTTCGATTTCATTGCAAAGAACGGATGTTCCAGGCTCGTTATCAGATAATTCCTTTTCGTGACACCAGGGGGCGGCTCCGCGTGTAGAGTTTGCATTCCCGTTGCTCACCCACAATCCTGTATCTTGCTCCTCAGCTTCTTTATTGATGATCAATACTTGGTGATTAGACGGTGGCGCCATCTGGGAGTCCGAATTCGAATCATTTTCTGATACTTTGATGGAAACTCTTGGCCTCGTCTCGCATATTGGGGTGGTGTAATACTGAACTACTGGCTGCTGGGATAGAAAAAACATATTCCCATTTAAATTACAATATATTTTATTACAACATAACATATTCTTATCTGTACTCAAATACAGTATATATATATTACATATCGCATGTACAGATTTATGGTTTGCGCTTTATAGGGGTAACGATATATTGAGACACTTCGGTTTAGCGTCACACTCGATTTAGAACGCAATAGATGGTAAGAGCGAAAGCAAAGTTCTGAGTTGACAATGAGCTTCGGAGCGTTTTGCAATTCTGTAAAAGAGTGCCAAGTTTGGGTGGAAATGAGAGGAAGACAAGTAAAACACACTAAAAGCAGGAAAACAATTATTGGGTGCACAGATTGCAGCTTCACTCCTCCTCCTGGTGTTTTCTAATGAGGAGTACTTCATTGTAAGACATATTGTTTTTTTTAAGGCACCCCTGTAAAGATTTCTGGATCCTCTATTTCTAGTACCTAGTTATTCGTGCAGCAGCATGACTATAATACATGATATCTTGAGAATTTTCATGTAGTCTGTTCTGCAATATGGATCCAATAAGGCATCAATCGTCGGTTCGCCCCTGATCATGGTTTTAAGTTTCCTTCACGTTTCTAAAATGTAAATACGGTCAATTTACCATAGAAAGTCATTTTGAATCCACCTTGGCAGATCGCCTACGTGTTGCGTTGCCTTATTTTGCCTTATGCCATCTCTAATTGCATTTGTCCATGGATGCTCTATTGTAGATATAGAGCTTATTTAATTTAAGCTAACTGCAGGGTTTAGCCTGCAGTTAGCTTAAATTTTTCCTCATCTGTAATAGTAGTCCTTATACCTTATCCTTAAGGATTAAGGATGAGGCCTTCTTCACGGATATCTAAAATTTTAAAAGAAGATTTCGGGCATCTTCTCTTGAAGAATTTGTTTTTACATCAGGAAAATGCATTCAGAAATCGTTAAAATAATACAATATTTTTATATATATCCAAATTTTAATAGCCTATTATTTATTTTAATATGTTTCCTTGTGGAATATAATACTTTATCGGATTAAGCTCGTTATTTTCCTTAAAATAATTAATTTAAAAATATAAAATATTTGAGTTTTAAAATAGATTTTTTTTAAGGTTCTTACTTGAGATATATGGCATTGTCCAGCTCTACCTCTACCTGCTTGGTATTCTTGATACTGAGATATCACACATAAAATACTATAAATCTAATTTAAATAAAAAAAATAAAAGAAAATTTTAAAATAAAAATGTATAAATTGTAAAATTCTATGGGAATTTTTACTTACATTTAAGGCACAAATTGTCGTATCAATTACAAAAAGAATTGCGAGAAACGAGTCGATTTCCTAAATTAAAAAAAAAAAAAAATGTATTTATTGTGAAATTCCGTTTATAAATATATGAAATTAAAATTTAAAATATAAAATTATATAATTTTTCTATTAAATATTTCCTCTTTTTTTAATTTTATACTTTTTGCCACGTTCCGTACGTCCTGGCAACTAAATGACATTGCTGTAGTATTAATGGATCTATTGTTCTGTTTAATCAAGATTTCTTCATCTCATATACAGTAAAAATGCCTAAAATCAAAGATAATTATATTTACAGTTGTCATGGCACTTTCCATTTCGTCTTCATTCAATCATTGTGGCTGTTGGTTGATGATTATTTTTAATTCCTCAAAAATCGCACCATATGCAAAGAATATGATTTTATGTTTGCAAAGATCCTTCAGGTCATCTTTTGCCTTACTAATAGACAAAGAATTGTACAAACGTACGAGAAGAATCCTGTAAATACATATGGCATTCAATTTTCTAGATATCTTCTTTGTTGCAATGAGGATACTGTGGAAAATGTGGTCATCCAGTTTATATTTGTAGAAAATTCTGTCGGTATTGCAATTGACTATGGCATCTCCGGTTATGACGGATAATCTTCATCAATCGGACCATCGTTTTTTCCTTTCATTTCGTTAAATCGGGGTCTATCAGTTGACTTATTTTATCTGGGTATTTAAAAGGCGAAAAATTCATCTATTGTAATAATGATTTCCATCTTTGTGTACTTTAATATAAGGGCTTTTAGATGGAGGTGAAATTAAAAATGTAGTTTTCAAATTGGTCTGCTCTTCAAAAAACACGTAAACATCCTGGATAGATAGATTCCCGTGTATTTACAATAGATTACTAGAAACGTGTGTAGTGTCTTGTATTTGTAGCTATGATTTGTGGTCTTTCTTAACGGGAAATCGCTCCCATGGGTACTATTGCGCGCGTTTTTAGTGACGTACTATCGTCTAGTGTAATTCGAAACACAGAAGAGTGCTTCATCTTGTATTTTGATTACTAAATTTTAGTATTTTGTACACACAAAAGATCTGTTAAAGGTATATGCAAATGTAAACGTGATTACTCGTACAGATTCAGGAGAATGTTCGCTTAAGATATGTCATTGCACGCGGTGAGAAGAAAGGAGTTCGGAAACTGCACACCTAATTAATGGACGGCCCCTACAGTTTCTTGATCACTACAACGATAACGTGCAACCATTATATCCATTAATTGACGTACTAAAGTATCTGACATGACCTCAATTAAAGCTCGTTTTTGTAATTGACCGCGACGACCGTGGTTATAACGAACAGTCCTCGTTATTGGACCATCGCCCCCCATTAGTTCATTAAATCGTTGCAATACAAGAAAGTTTCTAAGTATAAATGTGCCTGATGATGTGATTTTTCAGTGCTCCCAACTTTTTCTCTATCAGTAACTGAGAAAAAGTAATAACAATTTAATTACAGTTCTTTAGTAGAATGAGGCAAAGCAACACTTAGGTAATCTACCAAAGTGGGTGCTTCTAGGATGGGCTTTCTATATAAAAAGCGCCCTATTCTGGGCAATTTTACAAGAAGACAACAAATCAATACAGTCGTTGGGACAGTTGCAACTCACTAGTGGGATTTTAGTATGCCAACCTGGGATTGGTATAATAGAATCCCATTGTGCCAATGGATCTATCTAAAGTTGAAGACTTCAGGTTGAACTTTGACATTATTTTTCTCTCCTTTCTGCCTTTTTAAAACTGCATTGTTCAGATATACAGATTTTGTTTTACGATGGTTCAACATTTAGATAACATTTCAAATGTTTTTAAACAAGCAAGAGCGTCCAGTAATCCGGCTTACGGCACCCTAAAGGTGTCGGATTAACGAACTTCTACCGTTCTTCACGTTGTATGAGCTTTAAAAATAGATTTTTTTTGTGCAATTTTTTTATTATCTTTTTAGAAAAGTTGTAAGATTCTTGTTAAAACTTTATAACAACACACTCGTATATTTAAAATATAAAATATTTTAAT